TCCCTGTCGATGTCGCGAACACCACCGCCCCAAGTAAAAAAAAAAAAAAAAAAAAAACCTCTCCAAAAAAAGATGGCCGTGGGTGGACAGTCACGGCTCCGACTGAATCTCATTTAGAAGGAGGTTTATGAGGATGAGGAGTTGAGATTTGTCTGTATGTGCTTTTGGGCCTACCCAGTAAGATTCTTTCCTCCCCAGCTCTGCATCTCGCTGTCATGCACGGCCGGCTCAACAACATCCGCGTTCTCCTGACGGAGTGCACCGTGGACGCCGAAGCCTTTAATTTGAGGTGAGTGAGTCTGGTGTAGGGCACAGACCGGGGCTGCTGTCACCAGCCTCCCATCGTCCCCGAGTGCACACTGCAGAACGGACTGCTACAGCACTGACCCGCTTTTGGTACCCTAGGTAGTTTTGGTTTTGTAAGAAACACTTTTAAGAAAAATTCTGTGATCTGTTATATGTCCTTTAGATTTATTCAGCATCACAGACTTCAGAAAATTCTTTCTTTTGTGTATGATGGCCTTGACAGACATAACTAATTTTTCCAACTTGTCTCATCAGAGGCCAGTCGCCCCTGCACATTCTCGGACAGTATGGCAAAGAGAACGCGGCAGCCATCTTTGATCTCTTCCTGGAGTGCATGCCTGAGTACCCTCTGGACAAACCAGACGCAGAAGGAAACACGGGTATGTAATGTGGTCTCACTGGCATGCCTAGCTTTCTGGAAGAACAACAGCTCAGATGCACGTGTCTTTGTCCAGGGGCATTCAGCTCGGTGCGTTTTGGCTGGCCTCTTGGATCATCTGTCACAGATCTCTGTTGTGGAATTTGGAAACTCTTATTTAGAGAGAGAGATTTTTGCTATAGGGCGCATGCGCTCACCGGAGAGACAGACAGAAAGCAAGAAATCACCCCCGGAGGGATGGGCATGCTGTAATCCCTTCTCTTCCATTCTCTCAGGATTTTGGGCACGCACGCACAGGTGCCCAGAGTAAGTTTTAAGTCTCTGGGTCAGGGACTCAAACCACGGTCAGCTACATGGGAGTCCAGTGATGAAACCATGACACCAACTGCTGGTCCCTGGGGTGTCTGATTTTACTACAACCACACCTGAAATGCATTTCTTGCTCCTAGGCCTTACCCATGTTCCAAACAGGCCAGGCCCTCCAACCAACCCCCGTTTTTATTGCCCTCATCTACCTTTAACTCCATCCAACCAGGACCCTACCCAGGCTCCCAAATTCTAGAGGAGAAATCAAATATAAGCACCTCGTAAGGGTCTTCTGAAAGAGGAAATGTGCCACAGTGTATGTTGATAAGCTTTGAAAAAGTGCCACGTTACATTCCGATACAGGCCGCTCTGTGGCTCGCTCTCGCCCCGCAGTCACAGTGTTCATTTGCGTAGCTTTCACAGCTTTCATGGACTCGCTCCACAATCGTTTTCTTGTTGAATACCCACAACGGCCCATAAGGGAAGTAGCACACATAGTCGTGTTCTCGTTTTCCAGATCAGGAGCAGAGATTCACCGGATCTGTGGCCTGGCGCGTAAGGCGGCTGGATCCCACGTGGCCGACTGTGCGGTCGGAGTCCTGGTAGCTTGAGGAACATGCCGGGTGTGTGTGCGTATGTGCCCAGAATCCCAAAAGGGGGGAGACATGGAGGAGAAGGGATAGCTCCATCACCATATCCCGGGGGGGGGTGCTTTCTCACCTCTCTGTCTGTCTCTCTGTCTGGTAACTGTACATGACCTCCAGCAAAATTTAAAATCAAACAAACAAAAGAAACAGTCCTAGTCCAGGGCTCTCTGAGCAACTGTGCTGCATTCCTGTTCATTCACCCTCACGCCAGACAGACAAAGCTGCGTGGCCTTTGGCAGCCGTGCAGTGACCACGGGGTGCTCTGAACCTGACTGTGGGGTCAAATAGCTCGTCACCCATTCTTGGTCATGGAAATAGATGTTGGCCTTGAAATATGACTGTGTTTTTGAAGCTGGGAGTGAAGGGCCTTAGCCTCAGAGGAGTCAGCCCCTGGGAGCAAGTGACTGGATGGAACGTGTGCTCAGGGAGGGCTTCACGTCAGGCTTCCAGAGACCTGGGCTCACATGCCTGGCTCCCTCACCCTGCAGGGTGACTGGATACATTTTCTAACTTCGCTATGCTTGTTTCTTACTTGGTGACAAGAAAAATAACCTTCATCTTTATTTAAAGAATTGAAGTGACGGTGACAAGAAAAATAACCTTCATCTTTATTTGAAGAATGTCTCTGGGAGAGGTAAGCGAAGGGGAACTGCCCTTTGCTGTGATTGTTAGTAGGAAGGCCAGCAGGATGGCCTTGCTGCAGCCTGGCTTCCCACTGGGCCTACAGCTCAAGGAGGAGTGGCCGGCCGCGTGGGGTTGGAGGACTTTCTGGAGCTTGTTCCTGTGCTGATTTTTTTCTCCATGTGTAAAGACAACTCACAGGTCTTTCGATCTAGTTATAGCGTATGAAAAGATGTCTGTCTTTTATGCAGGCCAGTGTTTTATGCCAGAGACAACAGAATTGTGTGTGTGTGTTTTGCTCTAAGACACTGGTGCTCACTATGGAGAGGCAGAGAGAGACGGAGAGAGAGCACTCCCCTACCTCCTCAACAGAGAATGGGACACTGACCCTTCTCCTCCATTTCTCTATCCTGTTGGGATTCGGGGCATGCACTCACGTGCATCTGGCATGTTTCTCAAGGCAAACCGGGTCCAGGTCTCAAACTGCAGGGTCAGCCACAGGAGATCCAGCTGCCCTAACCACCAGGCCACGGAGTGCGTTGACTTGTGAGCCGAGACAGCAGGGTATTTGCTCTTCAGCGTGGGGTCCCTGCCTCCGTTGTTTTGTAGCCAAAGCTCTACGTAGGCAGGAATGTGGCTCGGAATGGCAGCTGCTCTAGAATCTCGGTTCCCGTCTGAGCAGATGCTGCAGATGCTCCATAGCGGCCACAGCAGGGCCTCAGGACCCCGTGTGTTGATGGGGACTTGGCTAACAAGCGTCCTGTCCTTGGCTGTCCTCTGCCCACCCTCTGGAAGTGCCAGGCTGGGCCAGGTGGGAAGTACTCCTGTGGTTTGTTTTCCAGTGCTCCTCTTAGCTTACATGAAAGGGAATGCCAACTTGTGCCGTGCCATCGTCCGATCGGGAGCTCGTCTCGGCGTGAATAACAACCAGGGAGTGAACATTTTCAACTACCAGGTCGCCACCAAGCAACTTCTGTTTAGACTGTTAGGTGAGTGGCCTCCTTTTTGCTCCTCAGGGAAGCCCAGTTACCATGCCCATTCCCTTTGTGTCCATGACGACTCCCTCCTAGGCTGAACTGGTCATTTCTAGGGACCGTGCAGGACTGTCTGCGCATGGGATGAGGGGCCCTTGGGCAGTGTGGGGGAAGGTCACTGTTAGCAGTGTCTTTTCAGAGTGCTCCACCTTGGGGCCGTTAGTTTCCCACTCACACTGAACCTTCCAGAAATCCACAAGCTGTCAGCAGGCCACGCTTTCCATGTCCCCCTGGCTGGCTAGCTGCATACCCGCCCTCCTCTGGCTGATTCAAATGGCCTCCTGCTTCAGTCCCCATGGACTCTCCCTTCTGTGGAGAGAGCTCTTTGCTCTTTGATTTCATATGTGCGAGTCTTTACTCCTCCCTCTTGGGGTGGTGGGGATGGCTGGAGTGACCCGAGCATCTGCGCCTGTGCCGTGCTGCCACCACGGTGAACACGGGCAGGCAGAGAAACGGGTTCAGGTATACTTGGGAGTAGTGTGATCCTAGTGAAGGTGACTTCTGAAGGCCACACAGCTGGTCGTGGCAGAGCCAGCCTTGAAGCCCTGTGCCAGGCCTCCTGAGCACTCCGGACAGGTGCCATCGCAGTGCTGGCCCGTCGGAGGTGAGGGTGGTGCCCGGCATCCAGTCAGCCTGAGTGAGTGCTGGGGAGTGTGGCTGTGGCCTACGTGAGACTCCCATTATTTCCCAACCTGGATGTGAACGCAGAACCCTGTTTCCGAGTCCTTTCCCTCAGGACCCTCTCTGCTGGTCCCACCAAGGATGCACTCACTCCACCCAGAGTCGTGGGATCGCCTTTGTCTTGTCCCTGTCCCCCATCCCCTCACATCCTGCAGTTCCGTTCCATCACCGGGTCTTAGATGTTGCCTGCTCGGCTGCTCCTGTCTTGGTCTCCTCCATGCTCCATGAGGACTGGCCCCAGCCAGCCTCTTGCTGTGCACAGGCCTTTGCCCTATCCCCCATGCTTTCCATCCAGCCCTCCCTGACTCCATGGGCTTCCCGACACTGAGCGGTTCTCCCCAGCACAGTGTCCTCCGCAGTCCACCCGGCAGGTGCTGTCCGCTCTCTTTGCAGCAGTCCCCACCCATTGAAGGCACCGTCCCTTGGTGCCCCATCACTGCATGCGTGGCTGTCTCCTGGTCCATTCCCCTGTTTCCTGATCCCCGAGTATTGGCTGTGCAGGCCCTGTGTGACAGAAACCAGTCTTCTGCGTGTTACAGATATGCTGTCCAAGGAGCCCCCGTGGTGCGACGGCTCCAACTGCTACGAGTGCACTGCCAAGTTCGGGGTCACAACTCGCAAGCATCACTGGTAAGATCCCCATCATCACACATCAGAGGATGGAGGGGACATCTGCAGGTCTCTGTGCTTCCATCCTTCTCCATGGGAAAGCCGTGACCTTGCCAAGGCCCTCCACTCCAGTGTGACCAATGCTGTGAGGCAACACTGAGCACACCTGGGGGTTCCACTGAGTGCTGACACAGAAAGTAGGAGTGCCCAGACAAGAGGTTTTCCTGCTGGCGCTGCGGTACACAGGTCTCAGGCCTGTGCTGAGCCCCTTCCTGGGCTTCCTGCTTGCAGCAAAGCCAGGATGAGTTCTGCCCTCAGCATGCTTGGGTCAGGCTCCTTGACAAAGAACTGAGGAAGCACTCCATTAAAATGAGACAGTTTTGGGACTTGCAGGTGGTGTCATGGTTAAGGTGCTGGATTCCCACTTGGTAACCACAGTTCGAGTCCCAGACCCAGCAGCTTGGAAATCATGCCAGGTGGCGCGTGTGCTTGCATGCCTAAAATCTCAAGAGAATAGAAGAGAGGGCATTGTGGCATAGCCATCTGCCGGGGGGGGGGGGGTGATTTCACACATTTCCTGTTTCTCCCTGTCTCTCCAGCAAGTGCTCACACTATGACAAAAGCCTAAAAAATGAGAGTCAGACAATTCTCCTAGCATCGAGCTGCTCTTAATCTTGATCTTAAAAAAAAAAAAAAAGGCAAGCCCCTTTGATGTCACTTTAATTTAATTGGCTGGAATTTTGTTTTCGTGGACTGAAAGTTAGACGTGGATCGCTGTGATTTGGCCGGCGGCTGGCAGAGTTGACAGGCTGGCATGTCTGCAGGGTGCTCCCGTGGCTGCCTTCACGAGCTGGGAAGCCATTGCTCTTCACCACTCTCACATTTACTTTCTTTGCTTCCACAGCCGCCACTGCGGACGTCTTCTCTGCCACAAATGCTCGACCAAGGAGATCCCTATTATAAAGTTTGACCTGAGCAATCCTGTGCGAGTTTGCAACATTTGCTTCGATGTACTGACTCTGGGCGGAGTCTCTTAGTGAGCCCCCAGGAGAGTCTAGGAATGTCCCTGGTCCCCTCCCCAGCAGCTGCTCTGCTCACCAGCCTGGCCCAACCCAGAGCAGGAGCTGGCGGTCGTCTTCCTGCAGCAATAGCCTGCAGCAGTTAAGGACCACGGTGTGAGAGCCCACCTCACACGCTTGTGTGCTTGTCGGTGTGTCAGACTGTGATTGGTTTCTAGATGTCTCACTAATCGGACCAGGCCTTTTAGCCTGAATGGTAAATGTGATAGGAATTAGACCCCATTCTGCTAGCAACATACAAGGACACGTTGAAAACCATTTTCCCTTTCAGTAGCTTAGTGTCCATCTCAGAGCGTTCACGACGTCTTCCTGCCAGGCTGATGTAGAAGGCAGAGCCTAACAGAGCAGGTGGCTGGCTGCTTAACGAGAGCCGGCCTTACTCTAGGGTAAGTGGCTGCGGACTTTTCTGCAGTGTTTTCATAAAGATAATAGGATCCTCTTGCCCTGAAGTTTATTTGGTTGTGGTTTTTTTTTTTAGAGCGAAGCTGTATTTTTAGTGAGCTATATACCCTTTTAAAAAGGTGAAATATTTCTAAACAGGGTTCAAAGATGAGAGCTGAACAATTGTGGCCTTAACAACTGAAAGCTTTACCAGTGTCCCTGCTACCGAGATGTCAGGAGTGCAGGATGGCAGCTTGACACCTCCTAGCAGCCGTCTCGTTCTCTCGTCTTGCTGCGTCCTGTCTGTGGAGTCCTCAGTCACTCAGCCACTGGAGTGGTAGAGGAAATGCACTTTTATTGTGCTGCACTTTTATATAGCTGCGTCGTTGGTGATTCCAGTTTAGACATCCATATTCAGAAATGCCCTTCCACATCCTTGCATCAGTGATTCCAGTGATCAGCTTTGACTGGACCTCAGCTCACACTAATCTTAAAGGAAAAGCTCCTTCAGGGTGTCAGGAGCAAGGGAGTCAGACAGGCCAAGTGATAGAAGGGGAATTGATGACGCTTCAGCCCAGGGGCATTTCCAGCCTCTGGCTGGCCGGTCCCATTTCCTTGACACACTTGACTTGAATGCTTCTTGCTGAAACCTTCCCTGGGCATGCTGTGAGCGCGGCTGGCCCCGGTTCTGTGCAGCTCGCCCTGCCCCATGGGGGCCAGCAGCCAAAGGCCCTGGCCAGCCTCAAGCAGCTGTTTTGGAAGACTGTGGCTGTGTGCCGAATGAGGCCGCCAGAACTTCTCGCTGCTAGTACATATATTAACCCTGAGGTGTGAAGCTTCTTTTCTTTTGAAGGTTTGGCCAGTTGGTTTTTTTTTTATTTTTTTTTTTATTTTTTATGCACATTTAATTAAAAAATTCCACCACTGCTTTTAAAAAAAACACAAAAACTCTGAGATGAACAATATATGTTACACAATTATACTCAGAGATTAACAGTCTCAACCGAACATACTGATTTTTTTCAGACACGTAATAACCACTACATTTTTTTGCATTAACGAAGTATGAACATATGTGTAAAAGGGACTAAATATATTTTTTTTGCAACAGACTGTTCTTTTTTTATTTGTTTCTTTTTTGGATAGTGGTATGTCCTCTATGTTGCTGTAGATTTATACTTTCTTTTGCCTAAATGTGTGTAAAATGAGCTGATAAACCAGAGTGCTACTTTTTTTTTTAATATTTCTGTGATTTATAAGATATATATGCTTTCTATGTTAATATGAGCTTGTGCACAATGTTTAAAAGAAAATTAATTAGAAGAATCTCCCCGTCCCTGAGTCTATGACATATCTCATATAGAATTTTTATGGAAAAATTGAGGCATGTGGTCAGTTTCTATTTTCTGTCGCCCAAAAAGGGCCACAAGGAAGTAGGGCTTAGTTAGGTAGCTTGAGTCTTTAGTTAGGAAGTAAGATGATCATGGTTCAGATAGGAGTTGAGGTGGTCAGGATACACGTGCTGTTCTGCTGGTGTGGAGAGGGGAAGACGGCGATTTAGTCGGGGACGTGGCTGCTTGTTCCGCCCTTGCCCTGCCGTACAGATTTCAGTCACAATCTTGCCCATAATTGCACTTAAAAGTTTAAGATCATGTTTAAAATGTGTTGGTTGACACTTCTGTGTTTTCACAGAGCCCAGGGACAGTAATGGTACTGACCAGCTGTGGACTGGGGCTTCAGTTTGAGTTCCACACTGGCCTCAGTGCATTCACGTGGCTGGAGAAAGTAACGTGGCACAGTCTCGGAAGTCTCCCTGACCACGCTGGTGCTCCCTGGGCTGGCTGCGCTCGGTCCGTGGGTGGTGGCGCTCCCTGGCCAGGAGCCCCTCTGCGTTCTCTAAGCTGTCAGGACTTGCCTGCAAAACTGCCTAGCTGTCCTTGTTCGATTTTAATCAGTAGCTTAAGTACTAATAACAAAGGCGTAATTTTATTCATTCAGAAAGTTGCCAACTGCGAATGAGTAGAGCAGGAAGAATAAACTTTACTGAAAGATAATTTGTGCATCAGTCCACACTGTTGTGCCGAATTAGCTTTTAACTGCCTCTTGGTCACGACCAGATTTCTGATACAGCGTATTCTTAACAGTCATTTTTTTAAGAGGAAGGTACAAACTACGTGCTATATATAATTCAGATGGCTTAAACTAATTTGCTATGATCCTCTAACAGAAACTTCCCACAAACGTAAGTGCCTACACTTAGGACTTCGGAATTTTCAGTTATCTTTTTAGTGCTGTCTCACCGAATGATGTGTTAGAATGTGTTCCATTTGGAGTTCTGTGCCTGTACACCGTCCACCCCGTCCACCCCGTCCACCGGCTTAGTTGAGACTGCTCAGTTCACTTGCCACATTCTCTCCAAGGAGTGGGGTCCATGTGACCTTTAGTCCTCTACCTCAGAGCCCTGAGTCATTTCTGACCCCGTTCAGCTTCCTCACCGCTCTCCCTGAATGGGGCCGTGGAGCTCAGTGGCCCCGCCTGTGGTACCGCCCATTACTGCACTAATCTCGTCCAAGTCCAAGGCGCGGAGCGGAGTGGAGGGACAGTCTGGGGAGGGAGAGAGCCTTGACTTCCAGCTAGGTTTTTTTAATCCGGAGAGAAAGACACTTCTGAACGATGTGATGCTCAGACCCAAAAGGCAAACCAACGCTGCAGGTGACAGTGGCACCAACAAGTAAATGTAATGTTTCTATGGCAGACGTGCTTTCGTCCCTCAGGACAAGCCCCAGGAGAACTACCTGATGCGCCCAAGCTCCCGGTTCCCAGCAGGGAGAGCAGGAAGCAAATGGGAAGCGACCTGCCAAAGGGATCTGGAAGCCGCGTTCTCACTTTGTGGAAGTAACTGAGTGAAGAGCTCATCGGTGACAAGATGCAGACTACACACGCAAATTCCCAGGAGTTATAGATGCCTTAAAGACTATCGGGAAGATCATTGCCTGTACGGTTCTTTTTGTGTGTGGCATAAATACTAACTTCCTGTAACTGCCAGTGTGGGTTTCCTGTAGCTGGGGAGTTTTGAGGCGAGCCTGCTTGACTTAGTGACTTGCCCCTTGCGGCAGATGTGCGGAGGAGGCTGTTACCTTGATGTCCCTTTGTGATGTAGGGGAGGGCAGCAGCTGTGCAGAAGCTGCAGGCACACATTCGAGTGGATGACCTTGGCTTCCAGACCGTTCGGGGAGCTCAGTGTGGGAGGAGGGCATCATACCGGACCATGGCGCTTATCAGCATTGTTTCGTTGGAGTCCATGTAATGGAATGTATTTTTCAAATACTGATATTTGCATTTTCTGTAACAATTCCTTATAATAAAATGAGGTAAAATAGTGCACAGTGGGAACTTCAATGTGTAGTTACTTCTCATGCAGAAGTACCAATAAGCATTAAAAACAAATTTCAAAACATCCTGACATGCGAACAGATTTATTTAACGGCTGCACTCTAAGAATGTTTGAATTTCAATTTTCAGAAGCATACCGTTGATAGCAGTCAAAAAGCAGCTTTTTTTCTTTTAGGTTTTTGCCATAGGGCACATGTGCTGGCCAGAGAAAAGAGACAGTGAGGAGGTCACCCCTACTCCTTCATGGGTGCTGGCCACACTGCGGTCCTGCAGGATCTGAGGAATGTATGCACCCAGGCCTGGATTGATTTTCAAGCTGCTGGGTCCAGAACTCAAACTGCACTGGTCCATGTGGGAGTCCAGTGCTTTCACCACCACGCCACCTGCTGGCCCCCCAAAAGCAGCTATTATAGGCATAATTTTCAGCTGCCTAAATTTAGTGTGCACGTCTCAGCCCAGACTTCAGCTCATGATGATGTATGTGATCACACATGCCCTGTCTCAGTCACTTGCCCCCACTGAAATTCTCCAAAGGACCCTGAGAATTTCCCTCTCTGACTGCACTGTTTAGGAGTAACTCAAGAGGACTCCATTACCTGTGGTTTGCATCCTCCTGGTACAGCTTTGAAGGGAAGACTGCCATTGGAGACTTCCTTGATACTAAGGAGTGCTTAGGGACTTGCAAATTAAAATCCAGTGAGCTAGGGGCCAGCAGGGGGCATGGTGGTTAAAGTGCTAAATTCCCAAATGGTCAACCGCAGTTCAAGTCCCAGACTTGGCTTGAAAAATCACACCAGGCATGTGTGCATGGGTGCCAAAAATTTCAAAAGGAGAATAGAGGAGAGAGTCTCACTTTCCCTCTTTGTCTCTCTCTGGCTCTCTCCAGTGAGCCCACATACCCTATGGCAAAAACTTAAAAGGAAATAAAAAAATCAGGGCCAGCAGGTGGCATGGTGGTTAGGGTGTTGGACTCCCATATGACTGACCAGGGTTAGAGCCCTGGACCTGGTGGCTTGCTTTCTCACTTTCCCTCTCTCTCTGGTGAGTGCACATGCCCTGTAGCAAACTGAAAAATAATATTGAAGTCTCTCTGGTGAGTAATAATTCTTAAAAAAACAAACAAAAAAAAAAAAAAAAAAAAAAACTAGTGATCCATGGGCCAGTTTTGTGGCCTGGTGGTTGGGTAGCTGGCTCCCCCATGGCCAATCTTGCAGTAATGTTCTGGATCCTGCAGCTTGAGAAACATACCAGGCAGGCATACACGTGTGCGTGCCTAAAATCCTGACAGGACAAAAAAATGAACAAAAAGATTGTGACCATTCTCCATTGGGGGTGCCTTCTCTGATCCCTTTCTCTCTCTGAATAGCACACTGCACCGTCTAGCAAAAAAAAAAAAAATTTAGTGATCCATAATACCCTGTACAAGTCATACTTGGCCCTCACAGTGACTTCAAGAAGTCAAAAATGTAAATAAATTAAGGGTCTATTTTGGTATCAAAAAAAATTAAAATTCATGAATAGTTTATGATTTTCTTAATAATACACTTTTGAAGAATTCCTTTTTTGCTATTCCTACATTGTTATAGCATATGTGTGCTCACTGGAGAAGGGGAGAGGGAGGAGAGAGAGCACTCCTCGGGGGTTGACCACACTGTAACCCCTCCTCTGTTTGTGGGATTCAGGGCACATGTGCCCAATGTGTACTTGCAAGCCACCAGATCTGGGATTTGAACCATATAGTTGTCTATGTGGGATCCAGCCGACTTCACCATGCCACCTGGCTGGCCCATACTCTCTGTCTTATATTTTACATGTCCCTAGAGTTCAGGGCAGCTGTTAACATAGCATTCCTTGGCAGCTCATTTCCCTATCTATAAACAGAGGTGAGCATGGTCCTTCTAGCTCACAGGATGAAGAGGTGCGGTTCAGTAATCAATCATACATTCCCTCATCCAGGTGGTGTACGTTCTCCTGGGACATTTTTTTTAAAAATTGTTATTATTTTTATTTTTTAATTTGACCAAAGAGACAGAGGGAGCAAGAGAAGGGGAAAGTGAGAAAGCAAGCAACCAGGTCTGGGATGCAGCCGTGGTTGCCCATGTGGGAGTCCAGCACCTTAGCCACCATGCCACCTACTGATCTCCCCACCCCCGGGACCTTGTGATAGGGCTGATGGCAGCAGTGTCTCTCCCTCTGGCAACAGGAAATGCTCTAAAGGGTGAGGGTTCAACCTAGGGTCATCATCTGAGGGATGCCCACAGATTTCAAAGCAGGCAAAGCCCTGGCTTGTCCATGGGGCCTAGCTTTCAGAATGCAATTCTCCTCAAGCAAAAGCAAAGTGAACAAGGACTGGGCTGGTCTGATGTGGCTCTTGTGCAGTCTTACAGGGACAGCCGTGACCAAAAAACCCCAGACTCTTCGCTCTTATTTCTGTTTATAGAAAACAGGATCTCAGGATTAAAAGGCAGTTGAGATTTCCTTCAATAAGAAGGAGGCAGCTGCCAGCCCTTGCCTTAGTCCTGTGCTTGCTCACTGGTGTACAGATCAGACAGGAGCTCAGCTCTTTCACAAGATGGCTGCTGTAACTACTGGAAGAGGTGGGGACATATACATACTCTTCCTCCACCCCAAAAATGGCTGCTGGGTGCTCCAAACCTTGAGGTTTACTTTACCACACTGTAAACCCCTTGAGGTCAGGAGCCTTAATTCCCCCACCCCAGCACAGTATCTGCCATGTACCAGGGGTCTTCAAGTTGTATGTCATGAGGCTGGCTTAGTGGCCTAATGGTTAAAGGAGTTGGATCTCACATGGTAGACCATGTGATTTAAATCCCAGACCCAGAAGCTTAAAAAACGCTGGTGTGAGTGCACACGTGCTAAATCCTCAAAGGATGGAGAAGGAACTGGTGTGAGCATGCCCCATCGTGTGGAGGAGGAGGGTGTTCTTTCCCTGTCTCTCTCTGGCTTGTGCATACACTTGCTGGCAATTTTTTTAAAGATGTGTATTAAAGGGGCTGGTCATCCCACATGGCTGACCACAGTTCAGGTCCCAGACCTGGCAGCTTGCTTTCTCACTTTTTCTTCCTCTCTCATCTCTCTCTGGTGAGTGCATGTGCCCTATAGCAAATTTAAAATAATAAATAAATCTTTAAAAATGTGTATTATGGAAAAACTATGCACTGGTTTCTTGTTTTAGTTTTGGTTTGGTGGTTTTTTTTAAAAATTCATGGTAGAATGTGCACACAAGAGCAAGAAGAGATGAGCACCTTCCCCAGGGCCTGGCCACGCTGCAGCCCCCTTCGTCCTGCCTGCTGGATCCTGGGCACTCGCATGTGCCAGCAGTGTTTCGGCTAACCAGGCTGGAGGCTGGAGTTGAGCCAGTCACCACATGAGGTCTGGCTTCTCTTCAGCAGCACACTACTGCTGTGCCGTGGAGTGAGCCAAAATGATGCATGGCTTTAAATTTATTTTTTTCCTGCGCCAAAATAAACTCATACTTGAATTCTATTTTCTACAAACTTTTTTTTTTTTTGAGAGGTTTTCGCTATAGGGCGTGTGCACTCGCCAGACAGAGAGAGACATAGAGACAGAAAGTGAGAAATCAGCCCCCAGGGGGGATGGTCACACTGCAATCCCTTCTCCTCCATTCTCCTCTCGGGATCCTGTGCACCCATGCACACACGCCCGGCGTGAGTTTTAAGTCACCAGGTCCGGGACACGAACCACAATCAACTATGTGGAAGTCCAGCGACATAGCCATTACGCTAACTGCTGATTCCTATACAAACTTTTAAAAATAATTATTTTATTTAACTTTCATTTACTTATTTATTTTAATTTGATCAGAGAGGGACAGAGAGAGAGAGGGAAAGTGAGAAAGCAAGGTGCCAGGTCTGGGACTCGAACTGCAGTCAGTCGTGTGGGAGTCCAGCACCCTCAACCACCACGCCACCTGCTGGCCCCAATTTTCTACAAACTTTTGAAGTCCCTCCTAGTAGGTGCTTGATAAATATTTTCAATGACTGTGGCCAGCAGGTAGCATAATGGTTAAGGCACTGGACTCCCACATGGTTGACAGTGGTTTGAATACCAGACCCAGCAGCTTAAAACTTACACCATGGGGACCAGCAGTTAGCGTAATGGCTATGTCGCTGGACTCCCACGTAGTCGACTGCAGTTCAAATCCCGGACCCGGTGGCTTAAACTCACGCCGGGCGCATGTGCGTGTGGGCCCAAGATCCTGAGAGGAGAATGGAGAAGGGATTGTGGCATGGTCATCCCCTTGGGGTTGATTTCTCGCTTTCTGTCTCTCTAAAACCTCTCCAAAAAAAAAAACCTATGCCAGAACACCTGTGCATGTGGGCAGAGTAGATGGGATTGTGGCATAGCCATCCCCCCTGGGGGTGGTTTCTCACTTTCTGTCTCTGTCTCTCTAGTGATTGCACGTGCCCTATAGCAAAAGAAAACAAAAAAAAAAAAGGAAGAAGCAGCATATATATTTGCAGTCACTAGTTTACAGTTAGCTTGGAGTTGATTGCTGCTCCTCGTAAACAGAGAAGCCTGAGGCACTGAGCTCAGGGCTGTCTGGACTCAGAACAAGGCCTTAATTTCAGCTCACCTCCTGTCTGCCGCTGCTCCGAGCAGGACAGAGACACAGATATCTGGAGGAGTGAAAATAGCAGTCAAGTTAAGAACCTTGAGTGCTAGGCTCAGCTCCTTATGTTCTCTGGGTCTTGATTATCTTGCCGCTAAAATAAGAGCAAACTGTGCACTTACCATGTGCAAGGAACTGTGGGTATGGGGTTGCAAAGCTGAGTAACGCGGGCCTGTCCTCAAAATATGAGCCAAGTGCAATAGAAAAATTCATGTAAAGCCCCCTGTGATATATGGTCCCTCAGGAGCAAGCACAGGGTGCTACGGGAACCTCAGAAAGGGCGCCTACATCCAATTGCTGTGCTCGTAGTCAGGGCACCCAAGCGAGGCCTGATTGAGCTGACTTGAAGAAATAATAGATGGACTAACTGAACGGAGGAAGAGGTGTCACAGCAGGCAGAAGAAACAGCTTGTGTGAAAGCACGGGGCATGAGGGGCTGGGGAAGAGGTGCACGTGGGAGGTGATGAAGAGAGGTGAGTCTAGGAGACAGGCCACAGGTGGGCCTCCTTGCCGAGCTGCTGAAGAGTTGGCATTTGATCCTTACAGATAAGGCAGCCACTGGGGAGCTGGACATGGGGAAGGCCCTGCTTATTAAGAAAGATGAGGGCCAGCAGGTGGTGTGGTTAAAGCGCAGGATCCCACACAGCCTACTGTGGTTTGAGTCCTACATCTGGTGGCTTGAAAAAACATGCCAGGCATGCATGTCAGCAAAAGGGAAGAAAGAACTTGCAAGCAGTGTGGAGGATGGACTGGAAGAGGGGAGTGGCAGTCGGACTCCTGCAGTAAGCCAGGGGAAGAATGACAGCCTAAACCAGAGGGAGGGAGGTGAGGATAGATGAGAGGGAGTGGAAAGGGAGAACCCGGGTAGAATTGTAGGAGATGAGAGGGAGTGGAAAGGAAGAACCCGGGTAGAATTGTAGGAGATGAGAGGGAGTGGAAAGGAAGAACCCGGGTAGAATTGTAGGAGATGAGAGGGAGTGGAAAGGAAGAACCCGGGTAGAATTGTAGGAGATGAGAGGGAGTGGAAAGGAAGAACCCGGGTAGAATTGTAGGAGATGAGAGGGAGTGGAAAGGAAGAACCCGGGTAGAATTGTAGGAGATGAGAGGGAGTGGAAAGGAAGAACCCGGGTAGAATTGTAGGAGATGAGAGGGAGTGGAAAGGAAGAACCCGGGTAGAATTGTAGGAGATGAGAGGGAGTGGAAAGGAAGAACCCGGGTAGAATTGTAGGAGATGAGAGGGAGTGGAAAGGAAGAACCCGGGTAGAATTGTAGGAGATGAGAGGGAGTGGAAAGGAAGAACCCGGGTAGAATTGTAGGAGATGAGAGGGAGTGGAAAGGAAGAACCCGGGTAGAATTGTAGGAGATGAGAGGGAGTGGAAAGGAAGAACCCGGGTAGAATTGTAGGAGATGAGAGGGAGTGGAAAGGAAGAACCCGGGTAGAATTGTAGGAGATGAGAGGGAGTGGAAAGGAAGAACCCGGGTAGAATTGTAGGAGATGAGAGGGAGTGGAAAGGAAGAACCCGGGTAGAATTGTAGGAGATGAGAGGGAGTGGAAAGGAAGAACCCGGGTAGAATTGTAGGAGATGAGAGGGAGTGGAAAGGAAGAACCCGGGTAGAATTGTAGGAGATGAGAGGGAGTGGAAAGGAAGAACCCGGGTAGAATTGTAGGAGATGAGAGGGAGTGGAAAGGAAGAACCCGGGTAGAATTGTAGGAGATGAGAGGGAGTGGAAAGGAAGAACCCGGGTAGAATTGTAGGAGATGAGAGGGAGTGGAAAGGAAGAACCCGGGTAGAATTGTAGGAGATGAGAGGGAGTGGAAAGGAAGAACCCGGGTAGAATTGTAGGAGATGAGAGGGAGTGGAAAGGAAGAACCCGGGTAGAATTGTAGGAGATGAGAGGGAGTGGAAAGGAAGAACCCGGGTAGAATTGTAGGAGATGAGAGGGAGTGGAAAGGAAGAACCCGGGTAGAATTGTAGGAGATGAGAGGGAGTGGAAAGGAAGAACCCGGGTAGAATTGTAGGAGATGAGAGGGAGTGGAAAGGAAGAACCCGGGTAGAATTGTAGGAGATGAGAGGGAGTGGAAAGGAAGAACCCGGGTAGAATTGTAGGAGATGAGAGGGAGTGGAAAGGAAGAACCCGGGTAGAATTGTAGGAGATGAGAGGGAGTGGAAAGGAAGAACCCGGGTAGAATTGTAGGAGATGAGAGGGAGTGGAAAGGAAGAACCCGGGTAGAATTGTAGGAGATGAGAGGGAGTGGAAAGGAAGAACCCGGGTAGAATTGTAGGAGATGAGAGGGAGTGGAAAGGAAGAACCCGGGTAGAATTGTAGGAGATGAGAGGGAGTGGAAAGGAAGAACCCGGGTAGAATTGTAGGAGATGAGAGGGAGTGGAAAGGAAGAACCCGGGTAGAATTGTAGGAGATGAGAGGGAGTGGAAAGGAAGAACCCGGGTAGAATTGTAGGAGATGAGAGGGAGTGGAAAGGAAGAACCCGGGTAGAATTGTAGGAGATGAGAGGGAGTGGAAAGGAAGAACCCGGGTAGAATTGTAGGAGATGAGAGGGAGTGGAAAGGAAGAACCCGGGTAGAATTGTAGGAGATGAGAGGGAGTGGAAAGGAAGAACCCGGGTAGAATTGTAGGAGATGAGAGGGAGTGGAAAGGGAGAACCCGGGTAGAGTTGGAGGAGGTGGAGCTTGGGCGGGAGAGGAAGGGGTTGTGGCTGTTTGCTAGGAGCCTTCCTTAGCGTGACCTGATGTAGATGGTGGTGCCATTCTCTTGCAAAGTTAGAAGAATTGGCCCAGAAATGTGGCTTTTGAGGTACCCAAACAAATGCTCTAAAAAGCTACCTGGACTAGACAGACTGGTAGTCTCAGTGGCAGCTGAGGTAGGAGTGAGAAAGCCATGGGGAAGGGCTCATGGCGAGGATTTCAAGGAGACTGAGAGAATGGCCAGAGGGAGAAGAGAAATCAGGACAAAGCCAAGCGGACCATATGACCAACAGTGGCCAGTGGAAGATCAAGGTGGACGGGCACGGACTGTGACTGTGGCACTTGCAGAACTGATCCTGCTGCTGCTGAGTGGAGAGGGCAGCTGGCTGCCGCACAGCACTGGGGACTAAATGAGGACTGTAAGCCAATTTTTCAAAACCCGGGCTGTGACGGGAAGTAGATACGGTGGCTACAGAAGACTGGGCTTGAGGGAGGGTGTTTTATTGATATGAGGGGTGCTGTATACGTAGAGGGAAGGTCCAGGAGGAGGAGGCAGGGAGAGACAAAAGGTGTAGGCAGGGCAGGACAGAAAGACCTTGGGGTGGCAAAAGGTACCCAAGCCTGGCGAATAGCTAGGGCCATGAGGGCACTGAGCCCCAAGTCTGGCAGCGAAGGGGAGGCGCCCCTATCTGCTAGTCAGTGCATCTGGAAAGGAATTCGGTGCAATGGATGATGAAGGAGAATAGAGCGAGCAGGACAGAGAATGTGTGGACTAAGAGCTGAGGAGAAGCCCCGCTGAGCGTCCAGGGACCTGGAACGGCACCAGCCTGCACTTCCTTCTCTGTGAAGTAGGAGCACTCTTTGTTCCCACCTACTTAACAAGAATTCAGGAGGTGACGGGTAAGAAATGTGCCAGCTGTAGACTACAGATACCCTTGGATGCACAAACCACTGGGCAAGCACAAGCCCAGCCACCTTACACTAGGGCTGGTCATACTGGCATTTGCAGCCTTGCCGAGACTCTGACCGTATGTTTGATGTTATGCCACCAGTTACCTTGTTAAGAGATCTGAAACTACCTTTCACTTGGAATGCAGGCTTCCTAGGGCTGGCCCACGGCTAGTGGTTAAGGGAGCTGGATCCCACATGACCAACTCCAGTTCGAATCTCAGCTCCAGCAGCTTGAGACACATGTGAATGCATGCTCAAAATCCTGAGTTTGGAGAAGGGATTGTGACATGACCATACTCTGCTGGGGAGGTGTCTTTTCCCTCTCCCCCCTCTCTCTAGTGAGTGTAAACTAGAGATAATTAAAAAAAAAAGCAGGTTTCTCCTTTTGAAAACACAGCCCACCTCCAGGACCAGCAGTTGGCATAATGGCTATGTCACTGGACTCCCACGTAGTTGACTGCAGTTTGAGTCCTAGACCTGGTGACTTAAACTCACGCCAGGCACATGTGCATGCGTGCCCAAGATCCTGAGAGGAGAATGGAGAAGGGATTGCGGCATTCCCATCCCCTCTGGAAGTTGATTTTTTGCTTTCTGTCTCTCTGTCTTTCTGGCGAGTACATGCACCTTATAGCAAAAATCTCTCCAAAAAGTAAAAAAATAAAAGAGAGACAACATCCTTGCTTTAAGTTGTTTCTTTTTTTCAGAGCCATCTGGATTTACTGCATCTATATAAGCAAAGGTTCCTCAATTTCCAGAATAAATGTGCTATTTTATGACCCCCCAGCTCTAATCACTGTGTTTGGCCCAGCTGTAATCACCCCATGGGCTTTTGGCTGTTAAAGTCTTGTGCAAAAGTCTCAGGGTAAAAGTCTTGTCAAAAAAGTCACAAAAGAGACCAGCAGTTAGCGTAATGGCTATGTCGCTGGACTCCCATGTAGTTGACCACGGTTCGAGTCCTGGACCCGGTGGCTTAAAACTCAGGCCGGGCGCGTGTGCGTGCATGCCCAAGATCCTGAGAGGAGAATGGAGGACAAGGGATTGCAGCATGGTCATCCTCCCCTTGGGGGTGATTTCTCGCTGTCTGTCTGTCTCTCTCTCTCTCTCTCTCTGTCTGGCGAGCGCATGTGCCCTATAGCAAAAACCTCTCCAAAAAAACAACAACAACAAACTCAAGCTAGGCGCGTGTGCGTGCGTGCCTAAGATACCGAGAGGAGAATGGAGAAGAAGGGATTGCGGCATATACACCATGGGAGGCGATTTCTACC